CCAAGCTCTTCTACAAAAGACACCATGCAAGCCCGCAGACTCACCTCTGCTAGCATCTGCTCAGCTACACAGTCTTCGTGTCTAGTTGAAGAGACAGCTCACCCACTGCCAAGAGCAGGGACTCTGACCTGGATGAGATGATGGGTACCTGTCATCCTAGCACTTGGGAGTCAGAGGCCAGCCTGGGCTAACAGCAAGAGGCCAGCCTGGGCTAACAACAGCAAGCCCCTGTCTCAAAGCAAAGGAGAGGATCTCGCAGGTCAAGTGAGTTGGCTTTAAAGTCCATCTCTCTCTCTCCTCTCTTTGTTGTTGTTTTCTTTTCGTCCTTTTTCCTTTTCTTCTTTTGGTTTTTCGAGACAGGGTTTCAGTGTGGTTTTGGAGGCTGTCCTGGAACTAGCTCTTGTAGACCAGGCTGGCCTCAAACTCACAGAGATCCGCCTGCCTCTGCCTCCCAAGTGCTGGGACTAAAGGCGTGCACCACCAACGCCTGGCTTGTTGTTTTTCAAGACAGGGTTTCTCTGTGTAGCCCTGGCTGTCCTGGAATTCATTGTAGACCAGGATGGCCTGGAACTCACAGAGATCTCTGCCTCCTGAGTGCTAGGATTAAAGGTGTGTCACCACTGCCCAGCTTGACATCCGTTATTTTTAACAAAAGGTTTACTTTGTTTTGTGCGTGAGCATTTGCCTACATGTATGTATCATGTTGGTGCCTGGTGCCTGCAGAGACCAGGAGAGACCAGAAGAGGGCATCAGAACCCCTGAAAATAGGCAGTTGTGAGATACCATGTGGATGTTAGGAACCCAACCTGGGTCCTCTGCTTGGGCACTGAGTGCCATGTCTCCAGCTCCCTGACATTTACTTCTTGTCCTTCTTAAAGGGGCTCTCTTTACCTTCTGTGTTCAAGTTTCCTCATCTATAAAATGGAGTTAATAGTAGCTGATTTAACACAACAATTAGAGCTATTAAATGAGGTGCTATAGCTAAAGCACTTACATAAACACTTGAAGGTGGAATGTAACTCTCTGCTAGCCTCCCAAGTCCCCGACGAAGAGAAACGTACGAGAAAAAAGGTTGGAACCATGGAGGCCTAGCACCCTGATGGAATGGTCAGAGATACTTTCCATTCCAGTCTCTGTGCCTAGAAGCTCTGATTGTGTTCCATGATGTTCCCAACGTTGGCGGAGTGTTGCCACATGAAAAAGTGGCACACAGGGGGGACAGCAGCACAAGAGTCACTTCTCCACCCAGGTCTAGTCCCAGAGGACACAGTGGTGATGGGCAGAGGACAGAGCTTGCTGGAGAAAACAGTGCCAGGGTCCAGGGTGGGGAGGGGTGTCCAGTATGGTGTGCACTGTCCTGTGGTCCCTAGGGAGACCCTCCAGCTGCACAGACTCCAGCTCTGCAGCCTGCCTTTCCCGGAATCACGCCTGTTTATGCCTGGAAGTGAGTGAGGACAGGCGGGACTGTTTTCCAGTTACCAGTATCCCCGTGCCCAACAACACCATTTTGATTCAGTCCACCTCTGAGTAGTAAGTACCTCGAAGACTTTCCGCCTAATTCTCTCTGAGGTCAAAGCCATCCTCCGGAACCCAACCCAAATGTCCCCTTCCCAACCTCTCACTGGAGCCCTTCACCCTTCATCTCTATCGAACCAGAGACCAACATCCTCAGTGGCGGAGTAAGTCAGCAGCACACAGAAACACTATCAAGCTGCACACAGGAGGTGCTCAGCCAGTATGAATGAAGGCTGATTCCTTGCTACCCACTTTTTCAGTTACTCTCTGGTCTACACTTATAAGATGCAGAAGGATGAGAGCCAATTCAACACCACCACTTCTCTAGCCATGCTGGTTGGCCCTCCAACCTCCAAGGCTGCTAAACCCTTGGGCTTGCACATCAGCCTAGAGGGGAGGCTGTGAGGATGTGCACGCATTTAGGAGGCTCAAGGACCTTTGGGGGCGCTTGCTTCTCTGACTCAGCTCTGGTCAAAACATCATAGCCACTGGGAAAGTGAACTAAGCTTTTGGGGACAAAACCGAGGGGAGAGTGGCGCGACGACCCGCTGAACCCACGCACCTGCTATCTCCACCCCAGGGCCTCCAACCTGAACTCTAAGAAACATCCCAGACAAAGCCGGCGGTGCTGACGTCACATTTATCCTGGCTTCTCCAGCCCCCAAGCCTACCTCTTGGCAGTGGAGTCCCCTGGAGCACGGATGGTGGCTTCACGTTCTCTCCTGCTGCTGGACATCTGTTTTTGGACAGTAGGCGTGATCTCAGCCGCCAGCACGGTCAGGACAGGGGCGTGCACTCCGCTTCCGCGGAACCCAAACAGAACAAGCGTCCACCCCACAGGCTGGCGGCGTGTTTACAAAGTCTGTGCCGCTTCGCAGATCGCTTGCTAGAAGCTGGGCAGGAAGTGGGGACGAGGGGGCGGGCGAGACAAAGGAGCTGGGTGCTGAGCTCTGCTAGGGTCTGATTCCAGACACCAAAGAGCAGCCAGGAGCAGGCTCATCCAGCTCTGATCCCTACTCCACCTGGGGTCTACAGACCTGATCCTCAGTCCCAGGTGGTGGTAGTGGGGGGTGTGGCTTCGCCAGGCTCAGGTGTACACACACACACACACACACACACACACACACACACACACACTCTCTCTCTCTCTCTCTCTCTCCTCCCCTCCCCTCCCCTCCCCTCCCCTCCCTCCCTCCCTCCCTCCCTCCCTCCCTCCCTCCCTCCCTCTCTCTCTCTCTCTCTCTCTCTCTCTCTGATGCCTTCTGGGCATCTGCAATTTGTGGTGCTCAAAGCTTAGGAAGTAAACAGCAGGTCTGAGTTTTTAACTCTTACCACGCAGCCAGGAACCGGGACACCTGTTATCTGACCTCGTCCCCAGTGATCTATCACATGGGGGAAACGGAGGCACAGTAAATTTAGGTAACGTAGCCAGAGTCAGGGCTAACAAGTGTTGGGACTCCAGCCCAGTAATTGCATCTGCCCAGGCACCTCCCCTCCCCACGAGGCCAGAATAGATTAGAAGAAGCAAGGTCTCTCTTGAGGAATTTCCATTCCAGAGAGGCTGATGGGTAACGTGGACTCAACGTACTGGAAGTGAGAGGAACCAGGGACAAGCTTCCTTACTCACTGAGCAGTTGCTTGCAGGAAAACACAAGGAGCTTGGTAATAAGACTAAAGCCTGGGTTCAGGGATAGGGCAGCTGGCAGAGTCGTTGCCTAGCATGCAAGAAAAACCTGGGTTCCCTCATAGGCTTCTTAAATGGAGTATGGTGCTGAATTACAGCAACCCCAGCACTCTGCAGAAGGTGTGGGTAGGATAATGGGGGGTAGGATGTCTGTCTTAGTGACTGCTCCATTGTTGTGAAGAAACACCATGACCATGGCGACTTTATAAAAATTACACGTTTATTAAGGTGTAATGGAGGGCTTGCTTACAGTTGTAGAGGGTTGGTTCACTGTCAACCCACATGCGGAGCATGGCAGCCAGGACGACACTAAAACACTATGCTATATCTTATCTGCAGACCGAGAGAGAGAGAGAGAGAGAGAGAGAGAGAGAGAGAGAGAGAGAGAGGCTTTTGAAACCTCCAAAACTACCCCAGTGATACAACTCTTCCAACAAGGCCACATTTCCTAACCCTTCTCAAATAATGTACTTCCTGGTGAGTAAGCATTCAAATATGTGAGCCGATGGAGGCCACTCTTAGCCATACCGCCACAGTGGGCAAGGCCATCCTCAGCTACACAGCAAGTTTGAGACCAGCCTGGGCTATGTGAACCACAGACTCACACAAAGCAAAACAACCAACCCTAAGGCCCTCTCTGAGGAGTGAGATCATGGGACCTGGGCTGGCCCAGCTAGGGTAAGCTAAAAATCAGGTAAGCTGAGGAAACCCTGCTAATGTAGGGAACCTTTAGAGTCTCCAAAAGTTCCCTCAAGGACTGGAGAGATGTTCCAGCAGTTAAGAACACGGGTTTTCTTCCAGAGATTCAGTTCCCAGCACCTACCTGGCAGCTTACAACAGTCTGTAACTCCAATTCTAGGAAATGCAAAGCCCGTTTTTGTCTTTCTCTGGCACCAGGCAGGCAAAACGGCCATATACCTAAAACAAATGCATTCGTTTTTAAAAGAGCGCTTAATCGATTTTATTGTTGTAAGGTGTGAGTGTGTGTGTGTGCGCGCGCGAGCGTGTGTGTGTGTGTGTGTGTGTGTGTGTGTGAGTGCTTGTACTTGTGAATGCCTCAAAAGCCAGAAGAGGATATCAGATCATTTTGGAGCTGAAGTCGCAGGCAGTTGTGAGCCACTCAACATGGGTGCTGAGATTTTTGAATTTTGTCTATCTCGAACAGCAGTATGTGCTCTTAACCACTGAGCAGTCTCTCCAGCCCAAAAGTGCATTCTTTTCTTATTGGTTTATTTATTTTTATTCTATGTGTACTGGTATTTTGCTTGCATGTACATCTGTGTGAGGGTGTCGGATCCTCTGGAGGTAGTTACAGTCAGTTGTAGGCTCCCATGTGGGTGTTGGAATTGAACTCAGGCCCTGTGGAAGAACAGCCAGTGCTCTTAGCCGCTGAGTCTCTCTAGCCCCGCAAAGTGCATTGTTTATTTTTTTTTTTATTTTTTTTTTCCCTTTTGGTTTTTTGAGACAGGGTTTCTCTGTGTAGCTTTGGAGCCTGTCCTGGAACTCGCTCTATAGACCAGACTGGTCTCGAACTCACAGAGGTCCGCCTGCCTCTGCCTCCCGAGTGCTGGATTAAAGGTGTGTGCCACCAACGCCCAGCCAGGAAGTGCATTCTTAAGTGTATTTTCTGAGACATTATTTCATATCAATAACTTTGTTTTTACTTTTTACTTATTTTTACTTTTTTCTGACAGGGAAGGTCTCCTTATGTAGTCCCACACTAGCCTGGAACTGCAGACCCTACGCCGAGCTTTACCGGGAGGCGGGGCACCTGCGGCCCCGCCCTTCGCCACCTCCTCACCCAACAACTACAAGTCCCATCGTACCCCGCGCTCACGCGCACTACGCGAGAGCAAGATGGCCGACACGGCGGCCGGGCCTGGTGGCTCGGGAACGGTAAGGGTGGGGAGGCGCGGCGTAAAGCCGAGAGGGTTTGGGTCTTCTGGATCTTTCCCGGGGTTTGGGCCACAATCTCGAACAGAGAGACTCGAGCCCATTCTGAGATCCGATGGTTGGAAAGCCATTCCCCGCTGCTCGGGACTTGGCGGCGGCCTCCTAAATTGGGGCACCCGAGACATGATTGGCTCCGGCTCATTCCCGGTTGAGGGTGGGGACCCGGAACACCATCTGATTGGTCTGAAGAGGCTGTTTTCACTCTCTTACTGGCCAGCTAAAGTTGGAGGGAGTTCCTTTTCAAAATACTTCCCTTCCTTGCTGGTCTTTGAGGTTAGTTCAGCCCTGCTTTGCGTCCGGTGTTGTTGCCCGTTTCATTTTCCTTGTTAATGACGTGGTGTGGAGATGGAACAAGAGAGCTGGTTTTTTTCGTTCAATCCCATAATTCGTGTATAAATTCGACATCCACCCCCAAAGGGTTTCTCATATAGCTCTGGCTGTCCTGGAACGCGCTCTGTAGACCAGCTTGGCCTCGAACTCATAGAGATCCACCTGTCTCTGCCTCCGAGTGCTGGGACTAAAGGTGTGCCCGGCTCATGTATATATTCTGGTAATTTGCTTCCGAAAGAAGTGAAGGGGCTGGAGAGATGTCTTAGTGGTTAAGACCTGTTTTTGCTCTTCCAGAACTCTGGAGTTTTGTGGCTCAGTTCACAACCACCTTTAACTCCAGCTTAATGGAATCTGACGCCCTCTCTAGGCTTCCAGGGACACTTACACTCACATCAACACACACACACACACACACACACACACACCTACATGTAATTTTTTTTTTTTTTTTTTTTGAGTAAGTAGTGTTTCTCCTATTGGAAACCTCTGGATTTGGATGTTCAATTATTACTCATTTGGTGAGATCTGTAAGTACTAAACACTATAAATACTTAGCACAAGAGAACCTTTGCTATCCAAGCAAAACTTGGTACACACCAGTAGCTTGGGAGGTCATGCTAGGCTACTTATCTAGCATCAGGCCAGCTTGACTGAACTACATAATGTGACTTCTGTTTGCCATTGATGGTGTGTGAACTCTGGTTGTGTCCTTGTCTGGTGGTTAAAAGTGTCCTCTTTCTGGGCTTCTGATTCTCAGAGATCAGGAAGTAAACAGTCTACTAACCCTGCTGATAACTACCATCTGGCCCGGAGGAGGACCCTACAAGTGGTTGTGAGCTCCTTGCTGACAGAGGCAGGATTTGAGAGCGCTGAGAAAGCGTCTGTGGAAACATTGACAGAGATGCTGCAGAGCTGTGAGTACCAAGAAACACTGGGCTTCAGAAACACCATCTTAGGTACTGCCCCCTTGTTCTTGGGAGGCTGAGGCTCACCTTCAGACAGAAGAAACAAACATTGTCCATTGTAGAAAAAGACTGTTTGGTTTTATATTTGTATTAAAAATACGTAGCATCATTGTCATTTTAATCATTTGCAGTGGTATTAAGTGCACACTCATTTACAGTGCTGTGAAGCCCTCTGCATTATCCGTGCCCAGAAACTTTGTACCCTTGAACAAAACTGTATTCTGTCTTCTCATCAGTCCCAAGAACTTCTGCTTAGTTTTTGTCTTTGCGCTCTCTCTCTCTCTCTCTCTCTCTCTCTCTCTGTGTGTGTGTGTGTGTGTGTGTGTATGTGTGTGTGTGTATTGTCTTAGGGTTTATATTGCTGTGAAGAGGCACCATGACCACAACTTTTTTTTTTATTCCCCACCACCACTGTGTAAGGAATAAGGTTTTTCCTCCCACTGCTGATCTTGTCCCACCGCCACACCAGCCCCAAATAACACACTGAGACTCTGTATTTGATATAATGCTGTTGGCCCGTTACTTGTTTCTTATCGGCTAGCTCTGTCTTAAGTATTAACCCATTTCCACGTATTTCCACTTTGTCTTCTTACTGGGCAGTGGGGCCAGCGTCTGGTCTTCCCCGTCTCTCCATCTTGACTCCTCCTTTCTACTACTTCTTTCCTCCTCGTCTCCTAGTCCCTCCTCTCTTGCTTTCCTATTGGCCAACAGTGGCTTTATTCATTAACCAGTATGAGAAACATATATACAGAATGACATCTCCCATCATCTCCTCTTTTTTTGTCTAAAATATATCTTTAAGCCTAACTAAGGAAAACTATAACTATCTGTCTTCAACTCCTTCAAAGACCACAGAAGGATAATATATAAACTCTAGAAATGACAGAGACAACTCACTGTCTGGTCAGTCACCTGAAGTTCTTCTGTAATCTTCCTTCTTCAGCCCATAGGCTATAGTGTGTCTAGCAGACTCTTCAGCAAAGCAGGAAATTTTAAACTGTCTTCTTGTATTGGCAGTTTGTCATTCACTTTTCTCTGTGTCCTGCAGACTGTCTGGCAGACAATTCCATGAAGCAGGAACTCTTTAGCAATATCCATCTTGAATCAGCAGTCATTTTTCTGTGGGTCCTGCATGTCCAGTTTATACAGCATAAAGTCAAACAGTCCAGACAAGAGCAGTATCTTGTCCAAATGGCTAGTCTTGCCATATTGGAAGTAAACTTCATAACTCGTTTCTTCGATGTCCATCTTCCTTTCTGACGCAGGTGGTGTTGCCAGGAGCAGTTATGTCTCACTGTCAAGAAAAACCCTAAACCATTTTAAATACGATATTCTGTAGGTCTTTGAAAGATTTGAAGAATGCCTGTCCATCTCAAATGCATGTCTGTATATCTAGAAATCTTAACTAACTATAAGATATCATAGGTACTATCTATAATCTGTATTGAATTGTACATTACATTTCTACACAATACCTAAACAAGAGGAGAAATGTACATATCACAAAATTGACCTTAAATTGTATCAATAAATGAAAATCCATTCCAAAACAAAGTATTCATATCTATACCATAATCCCCTTTTTACCTTTAAAAAGATTGGTTGTGGCCATTAACCATTTATAACCAACCCCATTTAAATGAAAACAAACATTTATAAACAGTATTTGGGAATTTGGGCGCCGTTCTTTCCAAACTACTTCCTGCTGATAGGGGGCGCTGTCATGGGGATCCTAAGAAGACGCAGATATCCTGGCTGTAGTCTGCAAGGCTGCTATGTCCCAACTGTTTTGACTGTTGGATCACCTGCAACTCTGTTTCAGGCGGTCTGGCTTGATCAAACCACATTAGTCTGGAAGGAATCCACAGCTTTTCATTTTCTGTGGAAACAAAAATAGAAATCCTTTTCCCCAGTAACTTGTCCTTGAACTTAAATTTTGAAGTCAAAGCATTTTTAAAATATATAAATTGGATTGATCCAGCAGCATTTGTTTTAACAGTTGTTATTTCCTCAGCAGTCAAAAGATACAAAGACAATATAACACCATACAGTATCCAGATTCTCTCCATCCTGGCTTTTTTATTACTGTGTTTCTTTTACTTTTTTTTATTTTTTTATTTTTTGAGACAGGGTTTCTCTGTGTAACTTTTATCCATCCTGGAATTCACTCTGCATACCAGGTTTACTTTGAAATCACAAGAGATCTGCTTGCCTCTGTCTCTCGAGTGCTGGGATTAAAGGCGTGTGACACCACACCGAGCTCCTCTCTGTCTATTTAAAACCATTTTATTCCTTTTCTCTCCCAAGCCTACATATATTTTAGAACACACTGTAAACCTTTAGTGGTTTTTCTTAATGTGAATCTGTCTTTACTGTGAATCTTTATCTTTGTCTGGCCATGAGTCTTTATCTGTTAAACAACAACATTGATAAATTGAAGGTCATAGTTGTTTCTGCAGCGGTTTATCAAAGATGGTGGCGGGTACCTTTACCGCCAGCAGTGAGCGCTGTACTTACCGTCTTGGTCTATGCTGCATCCAGCAGCATGCTGCCGGCTTGGAGATGTGGTCACTGCCATTGCCAGCTCTCATACACACCAATAAATTGTTAGTAGTACTTTTAAAAGCCTAGCGGTTTTTTGCCGCTTATGCTGAGTCAGGAAACCTCCCTTAAAGGAGCCGCGCAAATATCTGCTTGTCTCTCACAAAGCAGAGTCCAACCGAGAAAAATGCTGCTACCAAGAAACCTTGCTTGTCTCTGTTTTTTTTGTTTGTTAAACCCTTTTTTAAGCTTTTGTTAAATTTTAAGTGGAAGTTCTTATTAGCCACGTTGGCGCCATAAATAAGGAGTAGGTTTTTCTGCCCACTGCTGGTCTTTTTCCGCCGCCACGCCAGTCCCAATTAACACACCGAGACTCTGTATTTGATATAATGCTGTTGGCCAGTTACTTGTTTCTTATTATCTAGCTCTGTCTTAATTATTAACCCATTTCTATTAATCTAAATATTTCCACGTGGTCTTGCCAGAGAGAGGGGACCGGCGGTTCTGCTCTCTCCAGCCTCTCCATCTTGACTCCTTCTTACTACTTCCTATTTCCTCCTTGTCTCCTAGTCCCGCCTATCTATCTTGCTTTCCTATTGGCCAACAGTACTTTATTCATTAACCAGTATGAGAAACATATTTACAGAATGACATCCCCCATCACCACTGACCACAACAACTTTTATAAAGCAAAGCATTTAATTGAGGTGGCTTATAGTTCAGAGGTTCAATCCATTATCATCATGTTGGGGAGCATGGTGGTATGTAGGCAGACATGGTACTGGCTACATCTTGATATGTAGGCAACAGGAAGTGGACTGTGACACTGGGAGTAGCTTGAACATAGGAGACCTCAATGCCTACCCCACAATGACACACTTTCTCCAACAAGGCCACACCTACTCCGGTGAAGTCACACCTCCTAATAGTGCCATTCCCTTTGAGGGCCATTTTCTTTCAAAACAACACATGTGTATGTATCATGTCTTATCTTTTAAAAATTACTCTTATTTACTTACTTGTGTATGTGGAAGGGACTGTATGTATGCCATAGTACGCATATGGAGGTCATAGGATAACTTGTGGGAATCAGTTTGCTCCCTTCCACCATATGAGTCTAGAGATGGAACTCGGGTCATTGGCGGGAAGCAACTTACCATTGAGCCTTTTCACTGGCTTTGACTTTGCTTTTTTTTTCCTCTGTACTTCAGCTAAATGGAATCTGAAAATATTCGTCATTTGTGCCTGGCTTATTTCATTTAACATAATGTTTCATAGTTTACCCATGTTGTAGATTTCATTCCTTTTGAAGGCTGAATATTCACTCCATTGTAGAGTTGGATAGGGTAGGCACACCTGTAATCCTAGCCCTGAGGTGGTGGAGGCAGCGGTCAGGAGTTCAAGTCTAGTTTCTGCTATATGGAGTTTGAGGCTATATGAAAGCTGTAAAAAATAAACAAACAAAATGCTCCATTTTATGTGTGTTCCCCAGTTGGTGTATTCATACATTTGTCAGTTTCTTTCCTGCCTTCTGGTTGTTGTGAAAGTGGGCTGCTGTGTATGAGGCACACAAGTTTGAGCCCTGCCTTTGGTCCTTGGTATACACCCAGAGTAGGACTGTTGGCTCACCTGGTAATCCTATATTGAACTTTGGAGGAACCATGGCCTTTGACTCTTGTAGACATCTCAGAAATCGGGAGAAGTGCCAAGTCTTACTGCGAGCACACAGCCAGGACCCAGCCCACACTGTCGGATATTGTGGTCACACTGGTTGAAATGGGTGAGTGCATCTCCGGCATCCAGAGTTTTCCGTCCCTGAGTTAGGATCATGAGGAGTGGGGGAAGGCCTGGGGCTTGGGGTGTCTGCTGAGTGTCCATGGGTTCCTTCATGTTTTCCTTACAAAGTTAAGAGGAAGGAATCTTTTGAGCCCATCTCAGAGACTCCGTAAGTCCTTGTTGGGGAGCTCTGCCGGAGCTTCTTTTGAGGGGCAGAATAGTGGCTCAGTTGGGAGGTTAAGCCCCCTTTCAACACTGTTAACTTTGCATTTCCGTGTTCAGTATCCAATGGCCTAGGCAGTGATTGGCTTTCTTGTCTGTAGGGTTCAATGTGGACACTCTTCCTGCTTATGCGAAACGGTCTCAGAGGATGGTCATCACTGCACGTAAGTGGCCTTGAGCTCAGGTACTTAGTAAGTTGCCAGTGATTTTAGTGGGACCTGGTTGGAGACTAGGGCAGGCATCTGTTGCCTTGTTGCAAGCTCCCTTCCAGTGTTTGGGGTGGGTTAGCTACCCACAACCTGGTTTTATCTGGACAGCCGGATTCTAAGCCATTCTGAGCCGTTGCTGTCGTACTTTAACCCTGAAGAGCAAGCATGATACAGGACGACTAAAAGTTCTTGCTTCTTTAGATCAGGGTTGGTAAAATACAGTCAGTGAGCAAAATGTGGCCCACTGCTTGCTTTTGTGAAATGCAGTTTTACTGGCAGACAGCCATATTCCCTTATCTGTGGTTGCGGTCAGGTTAGAAAGGCATAATCTGAACTGCCGCTGTTTGGTGGCTACTCTTGTAACCCTAGCAATCATGTGCTCTAGAATTCTAGTGCACCAAGAATACATAATGAGGTCTAAGCTAGCCTAAGCGACATAGGCAGGACTCTGACTCAAAAAGCAAGCAAACAAAAGAAGTCTAAAATATGTAAAAAGTTCTGCTTAAGATAAATGGGTCCCTTAAGCTAAGTAAGGAGTAACTGCTTTAGTCTTTAGGACTTGGAGGGGGGGGGTTGCAGTATTTGTTTCTTAAAGTCACTTTTTTGCATTGACATCTTGTTAGGTATTGCATCTGTTAGTGTGTGTGTGCACGCACATGCCATGGTGTGCATGTGGCTGTCAGAGGGAAAGTTCATGGAAGCTGTCTCCTTCCACCATGTGGGTCCTGGAGATTGGCTTGGTGGCAAGGATCTTTTCCCACTGAACCATCTTGCCACCGCATTGGAGAGAAGCAGTGGAAGGCCCCATTCTCCTCCCTCTTACAGTTTTTAAGCCCACACTTCCCCCAGCTCAGTATTTGTTATCTGAGGTCTGTGAACAGTGTGTGCTGGTGATTGCACCTCAGGGCCTTCTCTGTGCCAAGCATATGCTGCACTACAAACACTGCTTCTAGAGCCCTAATCCCTGGGAAGAAAACTAACAGCCCATTTAACGCCCTTGATGAACTTTCCCATGTTCTTTATGTCATGGCTTTGGTGACAGCCACTCTCCTGAGGGTGCAAGGAGCTTACAGGCAGATTGTCACAGATTGAAGTATTGAGCAAGATTGCCTGGCATGGCAGGGCACTGTGTGCCGATCTGAAAAGGTTATGGATGGCCTTTCATCAATAGAAATACAAGGTGCTTAGTCGTGGCCCTGTGGGGTGGGGTGGGGTGGGGCTGGAACAGGGACTTTGTCTGCAGACTGCAGGGATGGGAGAAGTAACCAGTTGTGATTCTCTTGCAGCTCCAGTGACGAATCAGCCAGTGACACCCAAGGCCCTCACTGCAGGGCAGAACCGACCCCATCCACCACACATCCCCAGCCATTTTCCTGAGTTTCCAGACCCCCACACTTACATCAAAACTCCGGTGAGTGGGGTCAAGCAGCCGAGGAAAGGGCGCAGACGACAGTGGCTCAGTTCTCCATGGCTCATGGCTTTCCCGACAGAGGCATGATGGCTGACCCTGTAACCCCGGCCCTTGGAAGGCTGAGGCAGAAGGGTGGCCATGAGTGTAAGGCTGGCCTGGGCTGCAGAGTGAGATGCTGTCTCTAAGAGAGACAGGACTCAGGGTACAGTTTCCCTAGACTGTAGTCTCTCACAGTGTCCTAGGGCTGCTGGGACAAAGTAGCCGACTTAGAGCAGTACACGGGTATTACTTCATAGGCCTGGGGGCCAGAAGTTCAAAATCAAGGTGTTACCAGGGTCATATTCCCTCTAAAATCCGTGTTCACCTTGCCCTAGTCAGGGTGTGCCCATGTTTCTCCAGCCCTTCTCCAGTCTTCTTGTCCCCTACATGGTGCTGGCTCTCTACCAGTTTAACTGCTGTGTCTTCCCATAAGGATGCCATTGCCCTTACTTCATGGCTCTTTCTAACTGATGACATCTTTGGTGACTCTGTCGACAGATAAAGTCATATGAGAGGCCAGGAGGTAGCTCACTGTATCTAAACATTTTTTTATGGGAATACAGTGTTGAGTTCAGTGTTCATACCTCTTATATGGTGTGGTAATGGATCCTGACAATAAAAACAATGTAAGAAGTCCCTTCTAGTGGGTTTTGAGACAGAGTCGCAGACAGTTCAGGTTGGCCTCCAACTCAGCATGTCGTTGAAAAAGATGACTTCAGTCTCCAGATCCTCCTGCCTCTGCCTCTGAAGTGCTGGGATTGCAAGTGTGTATCATTACACCTCTCCCGCTCTGTCACCTTTCTTAGACCAGGCTGGCCTTGACCTCACTGAGATCTGCCTACGTCTGCCTCCCAGATGATGAGATCAAGGGCATGTGCTACCAAGCCAGTGTTCTGTAATTCTTGAGGGATCCTTTTGGACCAGTGTGTCTGTTTGGAGAGGACGGTTTGCAACAGGATGGGACAGTATGCAAATACTCTTGGGCCACCACTCACACGCTGTAGGATGCGAAGCTACTCTGAGGGGACGGAAGTCCCTTAGGGTGATGTGTATCTTATACCTAAGGCTGGCTGCCATGGTCGACTATGTAGTAAATATTTGCATTTTTCTTAATGAGTGTGTATACTGAAACGAGCCCTTTCTTTTGTACGCTGCTCTTCACGTAGCTTCAGTCTAGCGTTGGTCAGCAGGTTGTGTTCTCAGAAAGACATAGCTGCAGCGAGGCAGGGCCTGAGGAGAGCTGAATACGGCACGGGCTCAGCCTGGTGTCTCTCTTGTTCCAGACATACCGTGAACCAGTGTCTGACTACCAGGTCTTGCGAGAGAAGGCTGCATCTCAGAGGCGAGATGTGGAGCGAGCGCTTACCCGCTTCATGGCCAAGACAGGCGAGACCCAGAGTCTTTTCAAGGATGACGTCAGCACTTTCCCCTGTGAGAGTCACCCTCTGGGAACCCTGCTTTGATGTTTGAGATAATGGCACCATCTTTCCTTTCTCTCGGTGTAGTGGGGAGAGATGAGTAAGCCTTCGTGTTTTCCTCTGCTACAGTTTCTTCTTCAGATCTCTAGACCTTTCCTCCAAGCCCAAGAGACTGATGACTCCAAACAGAAAGGCTCCTGCATGTTTGCTGCTCAAGGCAGTGAGTTTAGGTTGCTTCACTGGTGGCCGAGCCCTGGGCAGCAAAGTCTCCTGTGGAAGTGGTGGCCCGGGTGGTAGGACACTGGCATCAGTGTCCTTTCCTAGGCTACATCTCATTTGGGCTTTGTTGACCAAGTGACTCCTCTCCATAGGCGACCTTGGGTTATGCAGGGGTGAACGGGGATCTTGGACTGTTCACTCAGAAGCATCCACTTGGCGCCTGCTATGTACCTGGCTCTTGAGTTACTGTGGCTAAAGTCACCCCAGGTGCTGGCCAATCCCCACACATTAGCTCAGGCAGCCATCCAGGCCTGTGAATTAGCAGTCCTTAGCTTGCCTTTGCAGAACACAGATGCTTGTGGGAAAGGGAAGTTATCTGGTCATGGTAAGCGGGCAATATTCATACCTGGCTCCCTCCAGCTGCTCGATAGAGTCATGTCTCTCTTCCAATTCCCAGTGATTGCTGCCAGACCTTTCACCATCCCCTACCTCACAGCGTTGCTCCCTTCTGAGCTGGAGATCCAGCAGATGGAAGAGACAGACTCCTCAGAACAGGATGAGCAGACAGACACAGAGAACATCGCTCTTCATATCAGCACGGTGGGTTCTCCCCTTCTGCCTGCCTCACACAGCCTGAAATAGCCTATCCCACACCAGGCCCCTGCCCTGGGAACTGAACAGGCCGTACCCCAGGCCTCTGGCTGTCTGTATGTCCTGAGACGAGTCCTGGGGAGTCGCTCATTGAGCAAATATTGGTGAGCATTGCGGGTCCGCATGCCATTCCAGGTACTGGGAAACTAGTAGAAGGCAAGGCTGACAAACCCCTCAGGAAGTTAAATCGGTCCAGATGGAGCCGTGGAAGGGGTAGAATTCCGAAGGTGACATTTGGTCATGTGTCTCAGAGAGGAGTTTCCACTCAGTGGGCACAGCACCTGCAAGGCCAGCCTGGGGTGGATGAAGCTAACTCGTGGTACCCTCTGCTGTTTCAGGCCATGCAGACACACACTCTTCTACACAAAGTACACTAAAAGACAGTTATTTGGACTAGTTACTGTTCTGGTGGGCTGCAGAAATGTAACCATGTGTTAAAAGTCCTGATCCCGCCTCCCCTGCCAAGTGCTGGGATTATAGCGGGGCACACAGTCACACTTCGGTCAATGACCAATTTTAAACTGTCCTTTTATCTCCTGGTGACAGTGTTTCTCTCAGGCCCTGTTGGAGTGGCTAATAGTTTGGATTTTGTTTTCTCGTACATTTGAGCTAGCTCTCTAGTGCAGGCAACCCAGAAGCTTAGCTTTTACTCTTTGATGAGAGACTGCATCTGTTTTTCGGTGAAGATTGTCACATATTATTCTGGCTGCTTAGAGGAAAACAGTGACCCCAGCAGATGAAACCTCTGCCTCTGAGAGCCAATATTCAGTGGGAGAATGGATTTAAACGTAGTCTATAAAGTCATCTGTATTCAAGAGGAAAGTGCCGGAACAGTGCTTTGCCTCTCAGTGGTAGGGACACTGAAGGTCACCACAAGCAAGAGACTTGAAGGGGACAGGACAGGTGAGCCATGCCACTCTCTGGTAAAGAGGGCCTGAGAAACACCAGTGTTTGGGATGGAGAGCCAGGGAAGGGAAAGGAAGGGCAATCTGATGGGACCAGCTGTTTGAAGAGCTGGGTGAGCCGAGTTACGGGAGGGCGTGGAGCCAGGGAGACGGACACTTCGAACTTCTGGCAGCATCACTGATGGCTGTGGTGAGAATGGGCCCCAGAGGGGTGGTACTGTTGGGAAGCTGTCGCAGTGACGTAGGCCAGGGATAGATACACCTCCTCCTCAGGTGCTCACAACAGGGGCAGTGGGATTGATAGGTAAAGCCAAGAGGATGGGAGTTGGGAAACAGAAGAAACAGGTGTGATTGATTGCAGAGCTCACGGGCTCAGAGCACCTGAAGGGTGGCAGTTCTGTCACCACAGTGGGAGGCCTGGGGTAGGATGCCCGAGGGATGCGGAGGCACACTGAATGGGAGGTGCCTGTGGGTGCTCGTGTGAAGCCGGCAGGCAGGCAGCCGGGAGTTTGAACTGGGAAGTGACGGTGACAGAGCACAGGGTGGGGTCGGACTTGGAGCCTTTGACAAGGAAGCGGAAGGGACAGCCACGAGGTAGGTAGGGGTTGTTGGTGTCCTCCTGCCTCGCCCAAGGACCCAGGAGCTTGTGACAAGCCGACGAGTCTCTCTCTCTTTTTTTTTAATTTTTTTTTTTTTTATTCCAACACAGGATTTCTCTGTAGTTTTGGAGCCTATCCTGGAACTCACTCTGTAAACCAGGCTAGCCTCGAACTCACAGAGATCGCCTGCCCCTGCCTCCCGAGTGCTGGGATTAAAGGTGTGCTCCACTACGACCTGGTCCCCCGTATTTTTTTTCTACGAATATTTGAGTCAATTGGGTGCTTTACTTGCTGTCTCAAAGCTGCCAGTGCCCGAAGGGGACCAGACAGTAGCATTTCCACAAGCTGTCCTCATTAGGGAGGCCTCTAACAGTCTACTTTTGTGGGGTTGACGGAGTGTTTGGTGATGATCCTCTGTGGAACCCTTAAGAACTCGGGCAGGCCGGGAGCTGGGTGTCCACACAGACCACACCTGGCCCCACATGAGCACAGCTGGCCTTGTGGCAGTTGTTTTAAAGAGGGGCTCCAGCGGCTCCAGGTCCCCTCGTCGGGTGTAATGCAGGAGGGATCAAGCACGCAAGCACGCATACTCCACAGGAAAGTGGCTTCTGGGGAACAGAGTTAATGGGATGCTGTGGGAATGTAGCAGACGTAGGCGCCACCCAGACTCTTCACACCAGCACCACAGAGCCTGGTGTCCTCGTGCCAGGCCAGCTGTCCCTTGAGAGGAATTCTCTGATAATTTTGTGCCATCTGGTGACAGTACCCCAGTGACAGCAGCCGCTGTGGATTGGGGTCTGAGGCCTCCTTTAAACCTATTGGAGAAGAGGCCTCGGTTCCTCCAGGGAACCCTTGGTCTGTCACCAGGGGGCGCTGCCAGGTCAGCTTCTGGTCGGCAGGCCTGAATGTCCATCAGGTTTTTGCTGTGCTATTTCATGCCCTGACCCTGCTGCCACACTAAGAATATGGGAAATAAAGGAGAATATAAACATTAATGAGGTAACGAGGAAAGGAAAATCAATTTCCCATGCATTTTAAATGTAAATTTTCAGTGTGTGTGTGTGTGTGTGTGTGTGTGTGTGTGTGTGTACACTAAACATTACTCCCAAAATTAAACTTTGCTAAAAATTAATAAAGAGCCCGGTTGATGGGTCACAGGCATTGACAATATGTATGTGTGGTATCTGTGGACTCTGCTTTGTCTTGCTGAGCTTCACTTCACAATTCCAGAAGGTTCTAGAACATGATTATTTGTCCCTTGTTCCAAGCACCAGAAATGAGAGATGTTGGATAAATGTTAGGACTTATGTTAGTTTGGGCCTAGGAGAGAGCTAGTCTGTTTCCTGATTTATTCCTGTGTCTCTTAATCCACAATACCTGTGGCTACTTCCTTTTGTCATCCTGTTGGGTTAGACTTCCTCCCTGAAGTGTGTAAGTTCTAACCTTAGCTCCCAGGTCTCCATTACTTCACTCCCCCACCTTCTGAAGAGGCTGAGGACTCTGGAGTCTTTCACTTTGACAAAGCTCCCTTTACAGCCGGTTACTGCCCAGGTCTCACTGGGTCTGGGGCAGAGATAGTAAACTTGGAAAGACAGTGGCTCTGTCTTCTTCTTTCCCAGTAAATAGACGCCACTGGTGGCTGCGGCTGGGGCATCTGTCTCTCCTCACGCCACTGGTGGCTGCGGCTGGGGCATCTGTCTCTCTCCTCACGCCACTGGTGGCTGCGGCTGGGGCATCTGTCTCTCCTCACGCCACTGGTGGCTGCGGCTGGGGCATCTGTCTCTCCTCACGCCACTGGTGGCTGCGGCTGGGGCATCTGTCTCTCTCCTCATGCCACTGGTGGCTGCGGCTGGGGCATCTGTCTCCTCACGCCACTGGTGGCTGCGGCTGGGGCATCTGTCTCTCCTCACGCCACTGGCACTCTGCTTTATCTTGGCTTTTACTCAAAGGGTGACCCTGGAACTGAGAAGGAGAATGCTTCTGTCCTGCAGCAGAACTCCTTGTCTGGCAGCCGCAATGGGGAGGAGAGCATCATTGATAACCCCTACCTGCGCCCTGTGAAGAAACCCAAGATCCGCAGGAAGAAGTGAGTGGGAGGCTGGGGTCCAGGCCTGCTCCAGCCTGCTTGTTTGTTCTTGGTAGGCACAGGCTCACCAGTGGGTGTGAGCCTGGTGAGCACTCCTTCCTTGGGCAAGAGGAAGTCGGCTCCCTCCCCTCCTCGGCTCTCACCCTGGCAGGCTCTCTGGTTCTCCTCCTTTCCAGGTCCCTCTCTTGAGTTGAGATGGAAAATACCCTGGAAGGGAGAGGACGCCGCTTTCCTGGGAGCGTGAAATCAGAGGGAAGAAGAAGGCGACATCCTTCTGTCCTTGCCCAGGCTGCATCATTTTACTGTCAGCCTTCTCTGAAGACAGCCTGTTCTGTAAACAGGCCAGAGGGCTGCTGGCGACCTCATTGATTAATCACTTGATTCCTTTGAACCCTGGAGGCCAGGGAAAGTGGCAGGGAAGAAAAGGGTCCACTGCCCTGCGCCCGGCCAGGAAGACTGACTGCCAAGTGTATGTTCCAGGCCACCTGGATCCCCGTGTTGACCCACAAGAATCATGGCATTACCAGCCCAGAACCTCATCTCACTTCTCTGTGCACCTGGGCCCCAAGATCCCTGCTGAGCGGATGGAAAGTGGCGCTGTAGCCCTCTTCATGTTAGAAACGGGTCCACATTGCAGCGTTGGTCTGGGGCTGGCAGGAGCGAGGAGTACAGGTGTCAATGAAGATGACAGTGGCCATCAGTGCCAGCATTTAATTAAAGCTGGCCACAGTGGGGGTCATCCCCGAGCACCCTTCTGGGAGTGATGGTGCCTGCGGTGTGGTAGACTTTTATTTAGCACCGGGGGAGGGCTGAGCAGGGGGCAGTGGAACTTGTTTCGAGGGCCAGACTTAGCTGAGAGACAGCTGATGGTGGAAAGCCACAGGCTGACAGGATCCAAGAGCGAGTCCACCCGTCCACCTGCACCTCCCTGGGAAGAAGACGCCATCCCTCTCTTTCCCCCTGATCATGAAACATGCCTCAAGAAAGACTGCAGGTTGCTGTCTTGGGCTGGTTTTGAAAAGAGGCTGAAAAACCAAATCCAAGGAAGAATGGAGGGAAATTGAAATTGACAGGAAGTGGCTCAGTCCTTGCTTGGACTGGAGCACTGAGCCGTGATTAATGCTTCCTTCTGTGCTCCACCTTGGCTGCTGCTCCTCCTCCTCTTTTTTACTCTCACCAGACCCCACGTGTGATAGCCCGGGCTACCCCAGAGCTCACTGTGTATCCCACATGCTGCGGTTACGGTGTGAGACAGCAACTTGGCAGGGGCGTTGCGCCTTCCTCGATGTTCTCTGGAGTCTGGTTCCTTTGCCTGGAGGGAAAAGCCCTGTCTGGAATTGCAAGGACAAGGAGTGGTGAGAAAGTGAGCTCTCTGGGCGCTGGACCAGACAGGAGTATGTCCATAGTAACTCAGCACTTCCAGGTCACAGCAAGAAGACCGAGGCCTCGGACTGTGAGAGCTTGTGATGCACTTGGCGGCTCATGGCCCCGTCAGCTGAAAGCCAGGGCTGATAGGCACTACCACACCTTGCTCTCTGCACCTTCTAATCACTGTTCTGCACCAGTATCACCGTCTGGAACCAGCGCCTGTTGGGCACGACGTCATGGGGGGGGGGCTCTTGCTGCCCTTGACCTCAGAACTACACACTGTGGTCTCAGAAGAGAGACCCTGGGACATTGATTGGCCTGAGTGGTGATGTGTTGAGGCATATGATTCTTAATGTATATCTATATATTTCTATTTTTTATAAGTTGGGAGAGTCTTCTTAGAGGGAAAATAAAGTATGATTTATGAAAAGCCTGTAATAAAATTTGTAAAAAAGACTGTAAATGAATTGAACCTAGGGCCTTCAAATGGCAGGTAAATAAGTACACTGCTTTTCTTGGGTATGAAACTAGCAGTTTTTCCCACCAGCCTGGTCCCAGAGCCGCATCAGCCCCAAATAACACACAGAGACTCTGTATTAGATACAAAGCTGTTGGCCTGTTACTAGCGTTTCTTATTGGCTAGTTCTGTCTTAGATATTAACCCATTTCTAATAATCTAAGTGTTTCCATGTGGTCTTCTCTTAATGGAGAGAGGGTCCGGACCTCTTCTCTTAGTCTCTACATTTTGACTTCTCACTACTACATCTCCCAGAATCCTCCTTGTCTCCTAGTCCCTCCTATCTTGCTTGCCTATTGGCTAACAGGGTTTTATTCATTAACCAATAAGAAACATTTACAGAATGATATCTCGCATCATACTGGGATTAAGGCATGTCCCAGTTTTGTCTGTTTCCTTCTGTTGCACAGTGGCTATTCACAGTATAGTTATTCCAGAGTTTAACAGTCTGTCTCACCATCCACATACTGCTTGGCATGTGAACTCTCTTCTTCATAGGGATATTAGAAATAAGTCTGGGAGCCTGGCATAGCACACTTTTATTCCCAGCACTCAGGAGGCAGAGGCAGGCAGGTCTCTGAGTTTGAGGTCAGCCTTGTCTACATAATGAGTTCCAGAACAGCCAGAGCTACATAGTTGCTCTGAGACGTTGTTTCAAAAGAACAAAAAATAAGAAAGGAAAGAAGAGAAAAAGAAAAGAAATGAAGAAAGGAAAAGAAAGACCTGTGATCACCACTTGTTGCACAGGCTTCCTGGGTAGCCCATCTTATTATGAATTTCACACACAAAACTCCCAACACCTAACATCTTGTCAGTTCTAATTCATCTATTTCTTTCCACACTGCGTATGCGTGAAAGAAAGAGGGAGACTCTGTGTGTCACTGACTGGCCTCTAACTCCTAAATAGACCAAAGGATTAAACTCAGCTCTGCCTGCCTCTGCCTCCTGAGGGCTAGAATCAAAGGGCAGGCTCCCTTGGGGTCTAGAGGGGTGCACTGGATCCCTGGGAGTTGGAGTTATAAGAAACTGTGAGTTGGGTGGTAGTGCACTCTTGAGTTGGAGGCCAGCCTGGTGTACACACTGAGTTCCAGGACAGCCAGGGCTGCACTGTGAAACCCTGTCGGATATGGGTGCTGGGCGCCCATCGCATGTTCCCAGGAAGTACAGTCGGTGCTCCACCCCAGAGCCATCGCTAGCTGCTCTTCTACCCCAGGTGCTGGGATTGAAGGGGGTTATACCGTTAGTGTACCCAATCAGACTTGACTTCACCTTTCTGTCCGGTCACATCCACCCTGCAGAGGTGGGAGCCAGCACCGAGAGCAGGCAGCCCAGGGTGCAGCCTGGGCAGCTGGGCTCATTTCCAGTCCTCTGGGGAGACCACACTAGGGTCTTCTTGTTCATTTACATCCGGGCATTCACCCTGCCTTTCCCACCACCCGATGCTGCCTCCCCTAATGTTTGGGGCTCCCTGCTCTTCCCAGCCTTCATCCCCCATTCTTGCTATAAGACTGCAGATCCAGAGACCTTCCACCTGGAGTCTAGCCTGCCCCCAAGTGCCAGAGAGGCCCCTGCCAGCTCTGTGTTCTTTTGGGTCACGCGCATCCTTTCATTTATTTAGCAGATAGAGAACTGGAGCCTTTTGTGAGTGCCAGGCACTGCGCCAGCTCTAAGGATTCTGTGCTGAGCAAGACAGACATAGTTCCTGCCTCTGGGGAATTCATTCACACAAAATAAGACACACAAAACAAAACTAAGACCACTGTAAGATCTGTGTGTGTGAGTGTGTGTGCGCGCAGGTGTGTGAGTGTGTGTGTGTGCAGGTGTGTGTCCTGGTGTGTGTGTGTGTGTGTGTGCAGGTGTGTGTGTGTAGGTGTGTGTCCTGGTGTGTGTGAGTGTGTGTGTGCAGGTGTGTTGTGTGCAGGTGTGTGTGAGTGTGTGTAGGTGTGTGTGAGTATGTTGCAGGTGTGTGTGTGTGCAGGTGTGTTGTGTGCAGGTGTGTGTGTGAGTGTGTGTAGGTGTGTGTGAGTATGTTGCAGGTGTGTGTGAGTGTGTGTGTGCAGGTGTGTTGTGTGCAGGTGTGTGTGTGAGTGTAGGTGTGTGTGTGAGTGTGTGCAGGTGTGTGTAGGTGTGTGAGTGAGTGTGTGTGCAGGTGTGTTGTGTGCAGGTGTGAGTGTGTGTAGGTGTGTGTGAGTGTGTGTAGGTGTGTGCAGGTGTGCAGGTGTGTGTAGGTGTGAGTGTGTGCAGGTGTGTGTGAGTGTGTGCAGGTGTGTGTGAGTGTGTAGGTGTGTGAGTGAGTGTGTGTGCGTGTGTGCAGGCTTCATCCCCTGCAAGGGGAAGGCCTTCTCTTAGCCCCTGCCTCTGCACTTCGCTCCTGATGCTTATCTCTCTCACCGCCCTTCAGCTTCTCCGTCATTTTCCCTTCCCATCTCCATTTGACAAACAGCCACTGAGCGTCCACGGGTGACCATATGGCAAGCAGCAGAGTGGACCTAAGCCTCTGCCTTCCCAGCACTTACAGAGTGTCTGGGGATGGACAGCTCAAAACACACATGGTGGTGAGCCTTGGGAAGAAAGCAGGGCTGTTCATGGTGCTGGATACCTGGAGGATGGGGAGACAGGCGAGCTGCAAGGGTTGGTGTGTGACGTCTGGGCTAGTAATTGGGAACAGGCGGTGTGCAGCAGAGCCCTCACCGAAGCCAGGGGGCGCTGCAGGCCTGTGTGGAGGGACCAGCCCTGCCCTGGACCCGCCTTCTTTCAGGATATCTGACAAGGGACTTGAGGCCTGGTGATGCAGGCTGTATCAGTGGCTGCTGCCTTGGTGGGGCAGATAAGAGGCAGCACTCACACCACAAAATAGGGTGGCAGGAGCTGCACTTAAAAAAAAAAAAAGTGGCTTGACACGAATGTTCTAGTTGAGCAGAGTATGAAACGCAGCCGTCTTTGTGGAAAGGGAACAGCGCGTGCAGGCATGCTGTCAGTCGGAGGCAGGAGTGTGTACCTGGAGGGTGGGAGGGTTAGGGGTGATAACACTCGGACTTGACAAGGCCTTGGGCTGCTGTGCAGAGGGATGGGTAGGCCTGGAAGCGTTCCGGCTAGAGGGAGTGTGAGAAACACTCTGAGTCCCATAGAGTTTGGCATTTGCCAATTATGATTCATGGCCGGGCAGGGGGCAGCTAGCCATGCAGAAACTGGAGGTAGATTGGTCCTAGCCTCAGAGAGCCAGAACATACCTATACCTGAGGAGAGGCAGGAAACACAAACCCACAGATACCTGGATGACACCCTCCTGTGGGGGCCTATGTTGCCAGGGAGATGGATAAACACACAGGGACCTGTTCTGCTTGAGTGGAGGGCTGGCCTGAGGCCTGAAGCCTCTGCTCAGATCCCAGTGGGGTGGGGTTGGCCAGTGAGGCATTGGAAGAGGTGAGTAAGCAGAGGCAGGGGGAGGAGCAGCTTGATGGCGCCAGCCTGAGAGGCCTGAGCGTCAGTCCGCTTGGCCCTGAGGCTCCTGTCCCTCTGGTAACATCTGTGTGGAGCCTTTGCCCTTGTAAAGCCAGATTATACTAGGAAGGTGGGAACATTTCTGTCACCTGCAAATCAGGATTGCCCCAGGAAAGGGGTGGCTGGAGCTGGTGAGCCTTCCCCAAGCTTTGGAAAGCACGGCACTCTTTTATCCTGAGGGTCCCAGGGTCTCCAAGGGCTCCATGTAACTCTTCCTTTTCTGGAGCTGGGGATAGAGCTCGGGGGCCTTGTACATGCTGAGTGACAGTGCTCTGTCACCGAGTGACAGCTCCAGCCCAGAGGTGTGTCCAGGGCACGCCAGGGTCCCCAGAGCCTCTTCTCGGGGTCTTTGTAGGAACAAGAGCTTGAGCCTTGCCATTTATTGCCACCTTTGCATTTTCCTAGTGACAGAGTTACCGTTCTTTTACTCAGGCTCACCCTGAAGCGAGTGCTTGACTCCCTGAACGTCAGCTTCCACGGTCCAGCTGCAAGTCATGGGGGAAGCGGCCTGCAGGTGAAGATTTGTCATGGACCCTTCTGGCCCTGGAAACAAACTCAAGGTATTTCCTCTCTTGGTGCTTATGGCTTAGGGTCATCTACACATCATTTACCTTACTGTTTTTTCTTTGTTATAAGTTATTTAATTGTGAATAGATAATATATGTATACAGCATAATTTTAAAAACAGAAATATATATATATATTTAATAATATATAATAAATATCTTCCTCCTCCCATATCCCAGACTCTCAGAACTCACCCATGGGGCCTACTGATGAGTCAGTATGGTTTTATGTATTATTGTGTGCATGAAACACATATGTATGTCTCTCCCTTTTATAGCATGTGTAAATGCCATGCTTTCTCCTAGTGGTTAGTGTGTCTTCCGTGTCAATAATAAAGAATTTCTTTCTGATTCATAGATACACAATGCTGTGACACAGGCCTCTTCCTTCCCTCACCAGTCTGACTCTCAGGTGACAGGCAGGTCCTTTACACCTTCTTTTCTTCTTCTTCTTCTTCTTCTTTTTTTTTTTTTTTTTTTTTTTTTGTGCCTGTTGTGGTAGTGCATGGCTTTAGTCCCAGCACTCGGGAGGCAGAGGCAGATGGATCTCTGTGAGTTCAAGGACAGCCTAGTCTACATAGAGAGTTCCAGGACAGCCATGGCTCTCTAAAGAGACCCTGTCTCAAAATAAATAAATAAATAAGAGATTTATTTTTAAGTGTGCTGGGTGGAAGGGTGTGTGCTTGTGACATGGGCACCCACTGAGGCCACAAGAGGGTGGCAGATCCCTGGAGCTGGAGATGCAGGCAGTTTGTAAACTGTCTGATCTGCATGCTAGGAACCAAACTTGAATCCTCTGGAAGAGCAAGCAGTGCATGTTCTGTTTTCGTTTTAAAGACTCCTATATTTCATTTTATGTAAGGCTGTTTTGC